ACAGTTTGTTGTGATCCACACAGTCAAATGCCTTTGCATAGTCAATGAAACACAGATAGGTATCCCTCTGGTACTCTCTGCTTTCAGCCCAAATCCATCTCACATTAGTTATTATATCCCTAGTGCCACAGTCTCTTCTAAATTCAACCTACATTCAGGCCGTTCTCTGTTGATGTGCTGTTCCAGTTGTTTTTGGATAATCTTCAGCAGAATCTTACTTGCATATGATACCAATTATACTGTTCAGTAATTTCAACATTCTGTCAGATCACCTTTATTTGGCAACAACAACAGCAACTTTACCGTAGCTCTGAAAAATTAGAAGTAAAGGGAGTGGTAAGTTGACGGAAGAACTGTGAGACTCTAAATGTAATTCCAGCCTCTAGAGTATTTCAAGACTTCTGTACTTGAAGTGTCAAGGTAGGTACTCCTCCGTGTGGGAAAGAAGTAAGAGTAGTTATCTTGACACTTTTTCTGGAGGTCTCCAAGTGATTACTCTTCTTTAGCTATGTCTCGTAAATTTATATTCACAACCTCTGTTAGAATATTGATAGAATTAAGATGGAGGAAACTATTGACATTGCAGTGAGTAAGAGCATTTTATTTATTTAAAGTTATATTGTTTTTGTTGTTATATGCCCATCGAGTCACTTTGACTAATGGTTACCCGATGCACAATAGCTCTGTAACCAGTCATATCCTGAGCCAGTCTCTGAGTTCCCTAGACCCATTGCCCGAGTTACTGTGTCAATCCATCTCCTTCAGAGTCTTCCTCTCTTTCACTGTCGCTCATCTATACAAGCATGATATTCTTTTCCAAAGAATGGTCCCTCCATGCAACATGCCCAAAGTATTTGAGATAGAGCTTCAAAATCCTTGCCTCCAAGAAACAAGTTGGTTTCACCCTCTCCAGGAGGACAAACCTGTTTGTTCACTTGGCAGGCCATGATGTTCAGTACTCCTCTCCAGCACCACAACTCAAAGACATCAATAATTCTTCTGTCATCCTTAGCCATTGTCCAGCTCTCTGATGCATAGCAAGTAGTTGGGAAGATCATGGCCTGGATCAGGTGCACCTTAGTCTCTAGACAGACATCATTGCTCTTTAGCATTCTGGAGAGGTCCCTGAGAGCAGATTTTCCTAATGCAATTTGTGTTTTGATTTCCTAACTGCTGATGCCAAGTGTGTTGATTGTAGAGCCAAGCAAGCTGAAATTGTTAACAATCTCGATCTCTTCTCCATCCGTGATCGCATTGCCACTTGGCAATGTGATGAAAATATTTATCTTCTTGATGTTGGGTTTCAATCCATATTGAAGACTGCAGTCCATAACCTTTTGCAGAAAATACGTCAGGTCCTCTTCTGTTTTGGCAAGAAAGATTTTGTCCTCTGCATAATGCAGGTTTTTGATGGGTCTTCCCCCAATTCTGATTCTGTTATGTACTGTAGATTCAGCTCTGACTGATAGCAACTCTGG